AGAAACATGGCGGCACCTGTGGTCATGTGTGAGTGTGTAACGTGTGCCCGTGTGTGTCTCATAGGTGTAGCAGCTGTGTGCACGCACACATATGACCAGCCCATGTGCGAGCCTGCGTCAGTGTGTTCATGTGTGCACATCAGGACCGAGGCAATGTAAGCCCAGCAGCTTGGGAGGCTGAGGCAGGAGGATCGAGATCAGTAACAGTGAGGCCCTAAGCAACTCCATGAGACCCTGTCTCTAAACAAAATACAGAACAGGGCTGGGGCCGTGGCTCAGCGGTCGAGTGTCCCTGAGTTCAATCCCCGGTGCCCTCACAGACTCAGAAAGGCTGAGGCAGGGCTGTTCAGGATGACACTGGTGGGGACCGCAGGTGTCCTCACCCCTCCCTCTGGCCGGCCGGGCCTGCCTTTTATGGACGTGGCGGAAGCTGTCAAGTCTGAGACCCCTCAGCCTGCAGACTTGACCGTGGTTATTTCTTTGATGCTGTGATTGCTGCGTGGTTCACAGAGTCGCGGTAATTAGCTCCGTGAGACTTCTGTCTTTTAAACATATCACAAAATGAACAAAGGGGCTGGGGCGAGGCTCCGTGGCGCAGCTCTGCCTGGCGCACACGGAGCCCGGAGTTTGAGGAGGGGAAGAGGAGCGCTGGGTGGTGTCCATGAGTCTCAGGGCACCAGTGACTGGACGCGGCGCCTGGTGGGGACACAGACCCAACTCTGGCCCCACGGGTGTGCTGGGGATGCCATGTCTGGAGCCCCAGGTCCCTGCACCTGGGGTCCTGCGTGTGTGGAGGGGTGTGGGCGGCAGAGCTGCCCAGGCCTCGGGCCTCACCAATGCGGCCGGACTCAGTGATCTCGTTGAGGGCCTGGAGCAGGTCACCGCCCAGCTTCTTGACGTTGATGAGGTCGTCCAGCATGGAGTACGAGAGGTCCATCAGGTAGTACAGGTCGATGGGGTAGCCCTTGGCCCGCCGGAAGGTCACGTTGAACACAGCCGCCTGACCTGCCGTCAGGGACAGACACAGCAAGAGGCTCCTGGCACCTCGTCCAGGGCATCTCAAGGGTCATGAGCTGGCTGTGCCTTGCTGGCCCTCGTCCCCACCCCCAGGCCCTCCAGACCACCCTTCACATGGCCTCCGGAGGCTGTGGGTAGGACCCAGGACAGCCAGGCCGCATCCAAACACCGAGCCCTCCCCCCACGGAGGCCGTGGAGGGCACTAGGTCCCCAGGTGGCTCCTTATCAAAGGGGCAGCCGCAGCCACTGGCCCATCCAAGGGGGCTGCCAGCTCCAGGCCTGGGGCTCATTCTGCCACACCTGCTCCTCGGACAGCAGGGCAGGGTGTGCTCTGAAGCCGGTGTGTGGCCCATCTGTGGGTGGCACTAGTTCCCCAGTCCCTCAGTCTCTTGACTGCAGGACTTATCAGAGCCCTAACTCTGCCACAAGTTCCAGGCTTGTTGAGAGGGAGAGAGAACATTGTTTTCCAAATGTTCCTTCTAAAAACAGAAGACAGGGCTGAGAGGGAGACCAGACACCCAGTGCAGACATGGAGTGGGGAGGGGTGGGAACCTGCCTGGGGACAGAGGGGGGACCTGGAGGCGCTCAGACTTTGGCCAGCCCCCAGCAGCCCCCAGCAGCCCCAGCCTCCCCCGGCCCACCTCACACCTGGTCCACCCTAACACCTGGAGTGGGCCCATGCTCCTGGACACACAGGGTGCCCGCTCAAGCACAGCCTAGGCCCAGCCTACCTGGTCGCAGGTACAGTGTCACTTTTTGTGGGGACAGCTGCTTCCAGGCCCCCTCCAGGTCCTGCTGGGGTTCGGCGAGGCTCCTGGGGTCCATTATGTCATCAGCCGCACAGCCCTTCTTCAGCAGCTGCTCCCGGGTGTCACAGCGAACGGAGTCGGGCTCCCCTTGCCCCGTGAAGTTCTAGGAGGGGGCAGTCACGGGTCGGGAGGGGCCACACAGCAGGGCTGCAGGGGGCTGCTGCACCCTGGGAACTGAAGACCCAGCCCTATCCCCCCCTCAACTGCACTTGGAATTTGGGACAGAGTCCGCGGAGGCGTTGGCCGTCTCCCAGCAGCCTCTCTCTGGGCTCCAGGACACACTTGGACCCTGGGGAGCAGACCACTCCCCACCCTCGGCCTCCCCAGCAAAACGCCTGGGGTCCAGTCTCCTGCCCAAAGGCTGATGGAGAGAGTCGGCAGCTGGCCCCAGGGCAGGGAGCAGGCCTTGAGGGCCTCCCCAGCAGCTCCTCTTCCCAGGGAGCGGCTTTCCCAGGGGGCTCGAGCCACAGGCAGCCACGGGCAGCCACGGGCAGCCACGGGCAGCCCAGGAACCCCGGGCCACAGGCAGAGCCCCCGCAAACGTCCTGGCACTTCAGTGGGAAATGCAGACAGAGGGAAGCAGGGTCCTGGGCCCAGGGGGCTCGATCACTCTGTCCTCACAGAGGCCCCTGGATCCCGACACGGGCGTGTTTGGTCCTGGCCCTGGGCCAGCACCCGCTGCATCAAAACTGTTAAATCACAGAGCGTTGAGAGGAGACTGGATGAGCTGCCACTCTCACAGTGCACTCAGAACAGCCCAGAAGCATGGGGTGGGCTAGTGCCGGCAGGTGGGGGGGGGGAGGCTGACCCTTCCCGGGCAGCGTGTCCCTGTTCGTTTGACCTGTGACACTGTGTTAATGCCTTGCGTCCTCGAGAACTAAAAGCGATCGACAAGAGAAAAGAAACCTAAGATGCAGCCCAGACAGAACAAGTGAGCCTCCCTGTCTTTATTTCAAATGACCAGAATGACCTCAGGAGGCCGGGGGCTTCAATCTGCCCAGGAACGTCCACACCCAGGCTTGGACCACACTCCTCAGGCCAAAGAACACAGATGACCCCAGCAGCACTGGGCTCTATGTGGGTGTCACTGCAGTGACAGCTGGTGACTCTAAAGCCTCTCTCTGCACGTGTCAGGATTGGGAGTGACAGGAGATGTGCCGAGGAGGCTGGGGGCCCCTGCTCAGGAGAAGGAGCCAGGGACCCTCAGAAAAGTGCAGACTCTGGGGCCAGGGCCAGGGCAGTGCAGGTCAGACCCGGGGCAGCTGTCAGTCCAGAAAGCAAGACAGTGCTCAAAAATAAAGAGGTACAGAGCCCACGGGAAGGGGTTGTGCCACCCGGCGCCATAGGGCGGTCACAGTGTGAACAGCTCTCACAGAGCGTAGGCTACCGGCCGGTGCTGGTTTGGGGGCAGACCCATATCTGCCAGCCTCAGAGGGCCTCCCCACAAGCCAGCCCCGCTGCCAGCTGCCAGGGCAGACAGTGGCATGGTGTGGCGAAGCCTGGCAGATGCCACCTTACCACAGTGACCAAAGTGTACCTCAACCAGAAGCCTGGGGCTCAGGGACTGGAGGTTCCCGCCAGGCAGGGCCACCGCGGGCCATGGTCATTCCCGTCTGAGGTCATCACTTTGAAACACAGACTGTGACTTGGGGGGAGAAGGGGCGAGATCCCACCAGAGTCCGGCTTTTCACCACGTTCTGAGGCTGGACTGTCCCCCCACACCTGGTGCTGCATCTGTCCACGCGGGGAAGCTTATCTCCCATGGCCTTGATCAGGGCTCCCCCATAGTGGTGCTGCCTGAGTTACAGAGAGGCCTTCAGCACAGGCTGGGTCTGGGGCGGGGGACGGGGCTGGGGCTGGGCTGGCCCAGGGCAGCCCTGTCAGACTAACAATCCCGTGGCCTCTGAGCTGCTTCTGTTCCCCACCTTCCAGGACTTGGAGATGGTGACCCTTGTTGTCCCTGGCTTTAGCAGCAGGGATGGGGCCCAGGCCAGGAGGGCAGGAAGGGCGAGGGCAGCAGAGGCGTCCATGTGGCTCTTACCAGCTTCTGGCACCAGGCGCAGCCAGGCCCCGACTGGACGCAGTCCCGGCAGGTGCTGACCTTGTACTTGGTACATTCCTGAGAGAGGGCTGGGGATACGGACAGGCAGGTGAGTGGCCCCGTGTCCACCCTGGCCTACCGTGTGGGGTGAGTACAGCAGGAGGGTGGAGGGGGCCCTGGGGAGAGGACGGGGCCAGGCAGCGTCTGCAGCTCTACAGGGGCCCACGAGGGGCTCCGAGTCACCCCATGTCGGGGTGCAGAGCAGATCCCCAGGAGGATATCAGAGCCACCACCTGCGGCTCTGTGGGGCAGAAGCCAGTGTGGGGTCCTTCCTCGGCCTCCCAGGGAGCGTGTGACTCCGCAGCCCGCTCCTCCCCATCTGGAAACTCCACGTGTGTAGTTACACCCCTCCCCAAACTCACCAGACCCAAGGGAGAGCAGCCCCACCAGGGCGAGCAGCAGGGGGCAGCGGCCCAGCATGTCCTGTGCAGGGAGGGTCTTGGTGACTGAGGGGTCCTGTTTGTGGTGCCTTGGGGTGAGAACTGGGCTTAGCCAGCATGTGGCTAAGGGGCTCGGTTACCTTGGGGACAGTGCTCATCGGTGCTGTGGCCCTTGGGACTCTGATGCATCTGTCCTCACCCTTGCTCCCCCAAACCCTGCATCTACCCCTGGCACCCTGGGTGCGGCTCCCCCAGACCAGTGGCCCTGCCAAGCCCCACATCCCCGTCTTCTGGGAGATGGCCCTGTTCCCTCCCCAGAAAGACTGCAATCAGGGCTCAGAGATGTCTTCCCGTTGGGCTCAGAAGCAGAACTCCCACTGGGTCTGGCTTCCTGAGGCGGCAGCAGGAGAGGGGCCACCCCAGCTCCGGCCTCCCGAACCGGCATCTCCCCACCTGGGACACGGGGGTCAAGCTGAGGCAGCTGTGTCTGGTCCCACCTTTCCACCCACACCTCAAAGCTGCCCTGTCTGGGGACCACAACTGTGCCCCGACCCTCAACTCACCGGGGCCTTGCAAGGAGCCCTCAGATGGTCCCCTCTTGTGAGGCCACAGCTGCTCCGAGCAGAGTGGAGCAGTCCTCCCGGGATGCCCCAAACCGATGCAGTGGGTGAGCCCGTTGCTGGTTCTGGGGAGGGACCCATTTAAACACCATGCTCTCTCCTGGGCTACCACAGAAGGGCCCCCTCCCCATACAACACTCATGACCACCAGCAGGCGAACTCCTTGGGTCCCAAGTGGGGAAACGGGGGCCCTAGGCAGCAGGATGTGAGCAGGTGCCCCAGCACCTCCATGCACCCCCGAGAGGGGGAGCACAACTTGGTTACAGCAAGACCAACCCACAGACCACAGAGTCCTGACCTTGACCACAGGAAGTAGATGGGAAGGGCCACCACCTCCCTGTCACTCTGTCACCATGAAAGGCCCCAAGGTAACTGGGAGCTGGAGGCTGCTAAGAATAGTCAGCCCCCCCAGCCCCACCCACCCCACAGTGGAGCCAGACCAAGGGTGCATCTGGGAGCGCAGTGGGTAGACGGATGAAGGCCAAGCTCCCGGAGGAGAGGCAGAGCCCAGAGGTGGGGCTGAGCACTGGCTGGGCAGCCAGGCTTCCCTCCATGTGGGAGGCAGTAGCAGCGCCGACCCCCAGCCCCTGCAGCCCCTGGGAGGCTTGGCAGAACCTTCCTGGGTACAAGGGTGCGTCCCTTGCCAAGATTAAGGTTCAAAGCCCTACAGGAGGCTACTTGAGAAGCCCAGGAGCCACTGACCTGCCAGACCTCTGCATCAGAGCTGCCCTTGACCTCCACCCACCCGCTGGGGAGGGTGCTACCGAAACCCAGCAACCTCAGGAAGTGGTGAGTGTCACCAAGTCCCAGTGCTGCCGCGGGCCAGCCGCCCGGGTACCACCCACCCCAAAGGAACGCCGGAAACCAGGACCCTAGTTCACCAAGTAGCAAGCTGGGAACTGAGTGGCCCTTGGAGAAACAGGACTGACCGTTCCCCACCTCGCACAGGGCCAGCACAGGGGCTGCACCCAAGTCCCAGGACCCAGAGGTGGAGGCAGCAGATGGCAGGTTCAAGGCCAGCCTGGGCAACTGGGTGAGGCCCATGGTAATGAGAATAAAAAGAGCTGGGGGGTGGCCCAGGGGCAGAGCACCCCTGGGCTCAGTCCCCAGTACAAAAAAAAAAGAAAGAAAGAGAAAGAAAGAGGAGGAGGTAAGGAAACTCAAACAAGACCGCAGAGGGCGGAGAGCAGGTGTTAGGGTGGGAGCCTGGTGGGAGGGCGGAGAGCAGGTGTTAGGGTGGGAGCCTGGTGGGAGGGCTGGACGCAGGTGTTAGGGTGGGAGCCTGGTGGGAGGGCTGGATGCAGGTGTTAGGGTGGGAGCCTGGTGGGCAGGCTCCCGCTACAGCTGCAGAACCCTAAGCCAAGCTGCCTGAGAAAACCCAGCTCCGCTGGCCCCAGAGAACTTTGCATCGGAGCCTGGCCAGAGGGTCCTGCTCGGAGAAGGAAGCCACCTGTGCTGCCGGGTCAGCGCCCCCCAGATAAGCAGGTCAGGTGGGGCCCAGGTGCCGGGAGGGGTGGAGAGGGGAGGAAGCCGGGTCCTGATGGCCTCGTCCCGCTCCCTCATTTGCGATGACAGGTCTCCCCCACTTTTTTTTTTTTTAGTTGTGGCTAGACACAAGACCTTTATTGTATCTATTTATTTTTATGAGGATCAAACCCAGGTCCTCACACCTGCCTGTCCACCTGCTTGTCCTGAGCCCAGGGACAGCCGTTCAAGTGCTCTGCCCCTGAGCCACAACCCCAACCCCCAGGTCTCTCCCCAAACTGGGGGGTCACGATGGCATCTTTTCTGCTTCACACACGAAAGAAGTGGTCAGCAGCTGGCTCCAGGGGCTGGAACACCGATGGGTGGCCACAGGGGCTCTGGGCAGATCTGGGGGGCAAGAGGGCCAGCGGGAACACAGGCAGCAGAGACGGTTCCCCAGCCCCCCAGGGCGACCCCCAGGTGCCTGTGAGGCGAGAACACGCCGTGAAGTCACGCGGCTGCCGTTTTAGGAGCCACGGTTTCTGACCAAATGGGGGAAAATGAACCTCCAACCCATATTAATCACCATTTAGAACACTCCAGTGAAGACCCCAAGACAAGGAGAGACGTCATCTTTATGAGACCCGAGCACAGGGACAGCCGTCCTCTACAAGCTAAAGCCGGAACCCAGGGAGGCAGCAGCCCACAGCTTTCGTGTGGACATAAAGGAACGGCAATGAACACCTGCAGATCAGTTTTAAGAAATAAAACAATCAGGAAATGGAAGATGTGGTCTCAGACGAGGGAAAACCCAAGAAGATGGTGGACCCTGAATATGACAAATTTTGTGCATCATAAATGCATAACAGGGGGCTGGGGCTGGGGCTCAGCGGGAGAGCGCTCACCTAGCATGAGCGAGGCCCTGGGTCCGATCCCCAGCACCACATAAAAACAAATAAACAAAATAAAGGTACTGTGTCCAACTGAAAAATAAACATTTTTTAAAAATTGCATAAAGGAAGCTACTTAATATCTAGTGTAAAAGGTGAAGGGTGAGCTTCATCTCTGAAGAGACCTTAGACACTCATAGCTTTTGCACGGGTCAACATATCCTAGGAAAGACCACAGGTGGTGGGCGGGAGAGTCACAAAAGCAGAACCACTCTGGGAAATGAACAGAAGTCACCCTCGCCCACGCCGGCCTGCCCACGCAGCACCTGGATCTCGCTCGGGCAGCTGTCAAATTGGAGATTTTTAGCCTTTATCACCAACGCCCTGCAGAATCGGGCCCAGCAACAAAACGCATGACCAACGGCTGAGGCCACTCAGGCTGATGGAGGAAAGTGAGCGGGTGGACGGCAGAGGCAGGGGTCATCTCCAGCTCCGAGGGAGGCAGCGAGAGCGCTCCTGATGTTCCCCGCTGTCCCGTCTGGGCTTTCTGCTGTAGGCTTGACAGCTGAGCTCCACAGTGCCCAGGGCACTATTTGGAGTCACTTCCCCAGATGCCCAACCTGCCAGGTTTTTTCCCTACTGCCCACGTGTTTGGGGACAGTTACATCACGGGGAGGGCCGAATGGGGCCTCAGGGCCCACTGGCACCTGCTCACACACCCCTCAGGGATGGGGCAGCCTGGGTGTCCAGGCTCTTGGCGGGTCATGGACTCTGCCCCTGCTGAGGCCCACAGTCCCCACTCCACCGAGTTTCCGTCACACTCCAGATGCTCCGACCTCACACCAAAAGGCCCACACCCGGCACCTCGGTGCTTGAAACTCCAGGGGGCGGGACTGTTGCCGCGGGGCTGAGTCCCTGCCCACCCCAGCCCCGGAGACTGAGAGAAGCCCGACACCCTCTCCCTGAGCAGCGGGAGCATGCCCTGGGAATGGAGGTCTCAGACTGGCCAGACCAGGGCATCCCAGAGGCCAGCCCTGCCCTACGTCTTTCACCAACAGGAAGTGAGGTCATGGCCAGTCATGGCTGGGGGAGGGGCAAAGGCTGTGAAAGGCCAAGGCCATGGCACTAAGGTCAGGGTCAACTCCAGGCAGGGGCGGTGGTTGTACAGAAATAGGACTGGGCATTACCTGCAGGTCCACCCTGCTGGCTTTAGCCCGAGTTCCCCATGTCCTCCTGGGTGGGGCTCTGTGCCTGCTCCCTATTCTACTGGGGGACAGGAGACAGCTCTGAGAGTCTCATGAAGAAGCCCGGCCAGGTCTCTTGCTCCCTGACTCTGATCCCTGCTGCCTTGACCCCGGGGGAGGGAGCAGTGTGGACACACCCCCTTTGGAAGGCCTCAGGGCGGGGAGGAGGCCCCACACATCACCTCTTCACGACAGGCTGCTCACGCACAGGGTGGGGTTCTGGACACCAGCCCTGTCCAAGGACTTGGGCCACGCCACAGGTCCTGCCCCAAGAAAGGGTCCCTTAGAAAGGCGACGAGAGGGGACTTTCCTGCCCAGGAGCAAAGAGTCATTGCCCCTTGCCCTGGCAAGGACTGGGCTCTGAGCCATGGCCAGAGTGGAGGCAGACTCCTGCCAGGCTGACCACACAGGCCGGCTAGAGAGTCAAGGCTGGCCCCAGCCAGCTAAGGCCCTGTCAGCACCGCCCGCTGCAGCCCAGGAGGCTGGGACAAGGGGCTCACAGTCACCGGCTGCCCGCCCTCAGCCTGCTGCTGCCCCTGCTGTGGAAGGCTCATGGCCCTGCACACTGCAGCAGAGTCCAGGAGGGGACCAGTGGTCCCCCTTGAGATCCAGTTTGTGCAAAGGAGAATGGACACTGGTCACAGTTAGGGCTCTGCCTCCTACCTAGAGGGTGTCTCCAGGGGTCACCAGGGACTGCCGGCCACCCAGGTGCGGGCTCCCTGAGTGGGGCTTCTCCGCAGCCTGGCCTGTACCTGAGGGCGAACCTGGCATTGCCACACCTGCACTGGCAAGCCACTGGGGACGTGGCTACAGGAGAGACCACGGTCACTGCAGAAAGGGGGGCCTGCAGGGGGCCTCTCCACAGAGCAGAGGCCCAGGCTGCACATGGCCTTCAGGCCTCTCAGCCACCTGTCACCTGCAGGACAACACCTGGCCTGAGTGGACAGAGCCGTCCGGGGAGCCCGAGGTGTCCCTGGGTCTCTTCCCCAGGGAAGTGAGACAGCTGGAGTTTGACAACTGGACCACCCCCACTTCACAGTTGGGGAAACTGAGTCCCAGGGGGCCAGGGGTCTGCTCACTCACGCCCCTTCCAGACGGTGAGCACAGAGCCCCCTCCCCTGCCCGGATGGAAGGAGGCTCCTCTGCAGAACTTCCCGTGAGGGGCCTTGCGGCCTCGGGCTCTCTCCCAGGTGGCCCGGGATGACTGTGACTTCAGCCTGCCTGTGTGCCCCTTTCTGTGTGAATGCCACCTGGGGCAGGCAGCCACTGAGCTGAGCGAGCTGGGCTCAGCAGGGGAGTCCGGATAGGAAGCGGGCTTTTCTGCCTCTCTGCTGCCCTCAGAAACTGCCCGTGTGCTCTTGCAGAGACAGCGGCCCTGGTGGCTGGGTGCTCCACCTGTCCTGGTGCCTGAGAGCAGAGACCCAACCTCAGAGGACCCTGGTCTGTCGGATGCCGCAGCCCCATGAAGGTCAGGTGGCCATGGGTCTGGGCCCTGTCGGGTGTCCACCCCTTGGTCCTACTTGGGTTGTGACCCCCAACAGGCACTGGATTCAGGGCCCGAGGCGTGGGCTCAGCCACCACTGCTCAGGGACCTCTGCGAGGGCCTCTTCTGGGCGAAGGACTTCCTCCCTCATCTGAATGCTGTGGGGCAGGCTGGGCCCAGGCGTCACAGTCCAGAGGCTTAGCCCAGACCGGGGGTCCCCCCTGGAACCCCTCCAGCAGTTCCACCTGGAGCCAGGCCCCGGCCGCCCCTCCTCCGGGTCCCTGCCCAGTCTGGCCCCCTCCTCCACGCCTGGGCCAGTGTCACTCCTGGGGAGGTGGGCCACAGCGTGCCTCCCTGCCCACAGCTCCCCCACCCGCCGGGCTCCACCACGGAGGCTCCTCAGTTACAGGTGCCCCTGGCCCTCCTGTAGCTCTGCTCCGGGTGGCAGGCCACCTCCCCTTGCCGGGTCTCATTAAAGGGGCTTGGACTCACATTCCCAGGACCCCTTCCCGCTGGACGCCCTGGACTGGGAGCCTGCACAGGTCCCCAGGGCCCACTCCAGGCCCAGAGTCGCAGGGAGTTGTTCCCCAGGAAGCCGCTACTCCAGAAAAGCCGAGCACTGAGTGTCCCTTAGGACCACCCTGGCCACGGGCCGTACTCACCCACTCTGTCTCCTGGCGGCCTCGGCTCTGTGTAGGGCTGGACTGGCTGGGGCTTGCCCAGCTGCTCGCCAGGCTGGCTCGCGGTCTCCTCCGGAGGACACGGTGAAGGCCCAGTTGTGAGGCGCGATGCTTCCTGTTCTCAGACAGCTCCTCAGAGGAAGCAGAGTGACATGTGGCTGGTTGCCCCACTGGGGGCCCCTCACCCCAGTTTCTCTGCTCACCTTCTGCAGCAGGCGGGACTAGAGACAGCCCCAAGCAAGGGCGGGACCTGCCTGCGTCTCACTGCTGCTCTCCTGTTGGGAAGTGGAACCCTGTGAAATGGTGCTGGTGACGGGTGGGAGACCGTCTGCAGACCCGCCAGACAGAGGGAGCAGCTCCTCAGCGCTCCGAGAGCACGGAGCAGGAGGAAGGAGGCCGCCGAGCGGGGCCCGGGCAGGGCGGAGGCCAGGCACCAGCCCAGGGTGGTGAGCATGGGCCAGGCAAGAAGCCAGGCAAGAGGGCACCTCCAGCACAGACTCCAGGAGGGACCCGCAGACGGGGGGACCCTCGGACGACAGAAGACTCCAGCCCAGAGGCCCCACCGAGGAGGCCACTGGGTGGCCCAGGGCTGGGTGAATCAGTCCTGTACCTGGAACACTCTGCCGATGTCTTATAAGATAAAAGAAAACTAGAGTCTGCAAGCTCTGAGGGGAGGGGAGGGGGAGGGACACAGGAGGACCCCTACACCCACCCAAAACCATCAGATGGCCTCAGATCACCACCCTCAACCCTTCGTAAAAGATGTACCCTAGACGTAGACAGGCGGATGAGTGTACAGTGGACGATGAGAAACTGAACCAAAAATAGGTGAAAATCATGAAGTCTATAACCTGCTGGTTTAAAAAATAATGGTAAAAACATCAGCAATCTCGAGGAGCAGAAGGACAGGCGGACGGGCCACAGTGCTGCCCATGTGATCCGGGAGGGGAACAGTACGCATTGGTGGGCATTTTGATAAAAAAAATCTAAGGCTATGCACACACAATGGTTCAGTCTCCCTCAGAGTATCAAGAGAACGCAACACGGAAGAAAGGAAAGTACCGGGGCCCGGCTGCGGCTCAGTGTGGAGCGCTCGCCTGGCAGCGTGAGGCGCTGGGTTCCATCCTGAGCACCACATACAAAAGTTTAGCAAATAAAATAGAATAAAGGCATGTGTCCATCTGCAGCTGTCTGCTGAACCCGATCAGACCAAGCCTTCATGTCCAGTCTCCAGTCTGTGGAGATAGCCGGCACCGAGGAGCATGTGACTGCAGGGCACTGAGCTCAGTCCAGGCTGGAGAGGGCCCCACGAGACAGCCACTGAGGGTCATGCAGAGCCAAGGAGGGGAGCCGGAGGCTTTGCAGGGGGAGTCCCGGGCGGGGTAAGAGACCTAGGGACACATCAAGCAATCACAAACATTGTCATGATTAAGAAGTTGTGGGGCTGGGGCTGGGGCTCAGCCGTGGAGCGCTCGCCTAGCATGTGCGAGGCCCTGGGTTCCATCCTCAGCACCACGTAAAAATAAATAAATAAGATAAAGATGTTGTGTCCAATACAACTAAAAAATAAATATTAAAAAAAAAAGAAGTCGTGGCTTTTGCAGGTGAGATACTGTTTGTGGTGTGTGAAGGGGC